TTAAAACCACCCAAACACAGTCCTGAGGTAGCACTTGTGATTATGTGGTTAAGAAGTATTTTTGTCTTATCTATTATGCTGTTTTAAACAATGCACCCGTACCAACTCGCCCAACCGCAAGCCAAACTTATGTTACATACAGTCAACCTTCAAGTCTCCGACACAGATCTTGGAGCTCACGACACAGCAAATCTTTGTTCTGCTCATGTGATTTAAAATAAAAAATAAATGGCACTAACCAACACATGTTCTGTCAGCCTATCACTGCTCAAGTTGGAGCAACTGGCACCGAGTTATGCAATCTGGCACCACACTTAAAAGAGCTTACTCTCTATTTAGAGAAGTTCAGTAGCAGTGCCCTTCTGGCACTTCCATCGAATATACTGCTTACCACAAACGTTCTGGAAGCAAGGGTAATGTATCAAATCAGGCTAGTTGGAACATACACATGACGGCCAGTGCAAACACTGAACAAAAATGAGTAGACAAAAGAGGCACTGTTTATCAACTGTAAGTTAAAAGTTTCGAGACCGCACCTATCCACATCGATAGTGTGTTGTCGATACTTCAATTCTTGTCTTGTTCCGAACACTTGTGGAGAACCTACGCTATTTAACGTGAAAAAGAAGAAGTATTTTAACAGTTTCACTTTTGTGTTTCTGGTTTTCACCTTGTGAGAATTTTAAAGCGCCTTTCTTTACACGTGGTTGAGCGTGCGTAGTTTCAATGATAGCATTCATGTTGCGTGTGACCGCTTCACAAAAATGGCGAATTTCAGAAGATTTTCGTATATTTGGTAAAACGAGACGGTGATGGCACCTACCCGTCGGGTTGCGTTCTACACCTTATCACTTCTGAGACGGGCGTGCACACCTATCTCAGAGCCACGCGCTCCGTTTTCCAAGAAAACTGCCAGATGGCGCTCATGTCTCACATGTGACGTGACTTGATGCCCCCGTTCGCCTCCGCTGCACGCTAGAGGCAATCTAATGCAGCGCCTCCAGAATACCATTCACCGATTTTCTTGTGCAGAACATCAAATAAATGTTTTGTTCACTCTCTCCACACACAAGACTATCATCTTTCAACGACATTTGCAGATTACATGCAAATACGGGGCCATTTTTTTTTCATCGTTTTTCACTGCTCAAGTTATTGGAGAGAACAAAAAACCAATGTTTTCTGTGAAACATGCACAGCAAATCAGTCATTTACTGCAAGGCGAAACTGCTTGGCATGGTGGCATGAAAGACACCTCATGTAATGTTATTCTATGTATACAAAATGTATTCTATGTATACATATATGTATATATGTTTTGCATTTACAGCACTTATATTTACAGGATAGTTGTGTGTGTTCTTTGTGCTAAAAATGTATATTTTGTGACGAGGTTTATTAATTGATAACAACAACGGCAAGACAGCGGGAAGAACCGTCCAGCAGAGATCAGCACAGCAGTGAGCCGAAGCACGAGCCGAGAGAGCCGTGCGTTGGCGATGCTGCTCGCCGCAGGCACATCTTCTTTTTCACAATCCCCCCGGCTGAAAAAGGAGCCATCCTGGCGACTTAGGAAGTTTCAGGCAGAGGCTCATGGTATGGTTTCAGTCGGGAAACATGAACGATGTCACAAGCGCGCCGGCGCATGTCATCCGATCGGGAAACTGGCTCAATTAGGAAATTAATCAAAGCGGCTTTCTCCAAAACGGTGTAAGGCCCCTCGTATTGGGGGACAAGTTTCGAGGAGAGTCCCGGTGTTTGGTGTGGAATGGCGAGCCACACAAGAGACCCTGGGGCATAGCTGGGATCTGAAAGGGCGGTGCTACGGTGTTCTTTCTGGCGCTGATGCTCTATCGAGGTGAACGCACGGGCGAGCGGCGGCACTCTTCGGCTTGTCGAGCAGCATTGGAGACAGGTGGGCACTCGGAAGCATCAGGACGGTAGGGTAGTAGGGTGTCGATTGTATGGGAAAGCTCGCGTCCATAAAGAAAAAAGAAAGGTGGGAATCCCGTGGTGGTTTGTACTGCGGTGTTATACCGCAGTAGAAACCTGCTGGACGGTGAAGAACCGTCCAGCAGAGATCAGCACAGCAGCGAGCCGAAGCACGAGCCGAGAGAGCCGGGCGTTGGCGATGCTGCTCGCCGCAGGCACATCTTCTTCTTCACAATTTCGATTTTTCTTCATGCTTATTCCGTTCAAAGCAGCGTTGATGGTTTTATGAAATTTCTTTGTACATGTTACAACTTTTGTTCGATTGAGCATTTCTTTCATACTATTGTGAATAAATTTAGGGCTTGAAACTGACCTTGCATTGAAGATAACTCCTTGCTCTACAATTTAATACCATAAACACTAATATCAGAAACTTTAGATGCCATAAAAAATGTTTCCCAGACTACCTAAAAACAACCAATTTGTTGCAGTCACGAAAGTGTTAAGTAAGAAAATGTGGCATTTTTAGCAGAAAGATGCACTGACAAAATCTTATCACAGCAGACCAAACTTCTCATCACGTATGTTAGAGACCGAAAACCTCCTCATCAGCTAGAACTATTGATGGATGCTTCTGCAATTTCACACAAGCCACACTACTTGTGCCTCATCACAACAGCATTTTTGTTCAGCTCAGCTTCACAACTACACTGTCATCAATGCAGGGAAAGATACTTAGGCAGTGCTCCTTTCAGAGAGCTGGTGTGCTCTCTTAAGTGGACGTTCAGACATCGTACCGCTTGACTGAGGTTCGTGCCACTGCACAACGAAAGGATGGTGTGCACCGCTCCACTCACGCAGTCAGCAAATCATGTGGAGAGCTGTACGAGGTCTGTTAGAAAAGTATCCGACCTTTGGTGAAGAAAAAAAACTGGCATAGTTAGAGAAGTAGAAAACTAATATCCGCCTCAAAGCAGTCCCCTTGGACTCCACACACGTCTCCCTGTGGTGCTGCCATTGTTAGAAGCATTCTGAGAAGGCCTCTTTCCAAATGGAGTTTAGCTCAGCTGTCGTTGCAGCCATGGTGCTCTCCCTTGTCAGAAATCGCTCTCCTTTCAATGTCCTCTTTGAGTTCGGGAAACAGCCAGAAGTGGCAGGGAGCCATAAAAAGAGAGTAGGGAGCTTGTTAAACTACAGGGGTCTGACTTTTTGCCAAAAAAGTCTGAATCAAGTGTGAGGAATGTGCAGGAACATTATCGTGATGGATGTGTCAGTTTCCTGTTGACCACAAGTCAAGTCTCTTGCGCCGCAAAGCATCCCGTAGGGGATGGAGGACATCTCTGTAATACTCTTTGGTGATTGTTTGACCCTGTGGTGCATTCTCGTAGTGTACCACACCGCGGGAGTCAAAGAAAGCACTTAGCATCACTTTGACATTGCTGTGCACTTGGCCGGCCTTCTTTGGTCTTGGTGACATAATGCTTCCACTGTAATGACTGGGATTCGGTTTCTTGATCCTACCCATACACCCAAGACTAATTACCAGTGATAATGCATTCATGAAGATAGGGTCACTGCTTGCGAAATCCAGCATGTCCTGTGAGAGTTCAATACAAAGTTGCCTTTGCTTCACCGTGAGCAGTTTCGGCACAAACTTCGCTGCAACTCTCTTCATGGCCAAATCTTCAGTCATAATAAAATATGTAGCAAAAGTGCTGATGCCCACCTCTTCCACAATTTTTCGGATAGTCACACAACTATTCTGCACCACTACAGCGTTCGCTTCGGCATGCTGATGGTCGACCGGAGCGCGGCTCTCTCTTCAGCGATGTGCAGGCATATTTAAACCGGTTGTGCCACTCCTTAATCTATCTGCGGCTCATAGTGTCACCACCGAGAGCAGTCTTCCTCTTCCCAATGGTTTACACTTGGCTGTCGCCCAGTTTCTGGCAAAATTGGATCCTGTAGTGCTGCTTCAGTCGCCCCATTATTTTGTTTGCAATGAAAAACGGATCAGAGCACTGCGCACTACCTCACTCAAACGCTGCGTCCCAGAGACTGACGCTGATGGCAGGTGAAAAAAATATTCATGCATGCACACAAAGGTTCAAGGTTGGCTAATGTAAGCGCGCTTGTTTCAAATCCATCAGGTGCTTGCAAGAAAGAGAAAAATAAGGTCGGATATTTTTCTAACAGACCTCATATAGAGCACATTTCACCACTGGCAGCCTGTTCTGAGACAGTGCCTGTGCCGTGTACTTTCTTGTGTTTAGTATCTCGTGTGCACTGGCAGTCATGAAGAAGTATCAAATTTATCAAACTTACTCGAGTTTGTCTCTGTGATTATGATGTTAAAATATTGTGCAATGATAGCTTCATATCCCTGAGCTTGGAATGAAGAAGCGAACAGCTCTTCGAGATAGATAGCAGCGCACTTGAAATTGCAAAAGAGTACGTCTACTTAGGACAGGTAGTAGCCCTGGAGGCGAACCACGAGATTGCAGTAACTGGAAGAATAAGAATGGAGTGGAGCACATTTGGCAAGCACTCTCAAGTCATGACTGGTGATTGCCACTATCCCTCAAAAGGAAGGTATATAGCTGCTGCATCTTGCACGTACTTACCTACGGAGCAGAAACATGAAGGCTTACAAAGAAGGTTCAGCTTAAATTGAGGACGATGCAGTGAGGGATGGAAAGAAAATTATAGGTGTAACCTTAAGAGATACGAAGAGAACAGAGTGGGTCAGGAAACCAGCGTTAAGGTTATCATAATTGAAATCAAGAAGAAGAAATGGACATAGGCCGGGCACGTAACGCATAGGCAGGATAACCGCTGGTCATTAAGGGCAACTGACTGGATTTTCAGAGAAGGCAAGCAGGTGAGGAGAAGACAGAACGTTAGGTGGGCAGATGAGATTAGGAAGTTTACAGGTATAAAGTGGCAGTAGGAAGAACAGGACAGAGTTGACTGGCAGATCATGGCAGAGGCCTTAGCCCTGCAGTGGGCGTAAGTCAGGCTGATGATGATGATAAAGAGGAAGCGAAAACAAGTGAAAGGAAACTCACTTACGTGAGGCGGCGTGGCTGAAGGGCTCTTTGGCTCTTCCTTGATGCTTACACACACCAACCACTGAAAAAAAAAATCTTTGTTTTCATTCACAAGCTGAGTTGGGAAATAACTATATAAACTGAACCTCATGCCCCTGTTGAAGAGCGTCATTTTACGTGCAAAATAATGGTTTTCATTTAGGAAAATCTTATTATCATTATGCCAAAAAGCAAATAACCAGTTTTCACCACTGTTCAGTTCATTTGGCATTTTATGATTAAATAACTTTCATTTTTCTCAAGTCAACGGTACACATGCACATACACATACATGTACTTAAGGATGTAACATGAATACTAAATAATTTCCTACTTAGCAGCATGTTTTATACATTTACTATATCAGTAGAAAGCTGTGCTGTAATAAATGTGTTTGAATGAAAACAACAAAAGGAAACATGTGAGGTGCAATGCACCTTCATATTAAGTTTGTCAAGCTTAAGTTATGCTGTGTCACTGTGAGTTGGTTGCTTTCAACGTGAACCTGAAGGTTAATGTTCTATATTATTAGCTAGGGCTAAGAAGTACCAAACTACAAAAATACACTTCACTTACTGGAGGCGGTGATGGTGGAAGGCTGCTCTCTTCTGCCTTAATGTCAACACTCATGTCCTGAAAAAAGATTTTTTTTCCAAAGCTTATTTGAGAAAGAACCATTAGCTTTGAATAAGAGACATTGGAATAAACAGTATATTAGCTTCATGTGAAGATTGTGGTTACAATGCAGCCATGTTGTTATTTTCCTTTTTCATGAATGCATGCTGGTAGCTTATTTTTCTTGGAGAAACCATAATTAACTTCTTTTTATTTGAAACAGGGCAGGAACCTTGCAAGGTGCCAGAGTGAACATCCCACGAGAGTTGCAACCACCTAATGAAAGGCCCCTGCTCAAAAAGCAATGCGCTCTCAAAAGTCTGAATTCAAACAAATACTAATAAATGTTTAGTTAGCCCATGCCACACCAGCTTTATTTTAAAGTATGCCGGACAATTCAAGCTTCCCAACTGCACAAGTTCAGCTAATCCAACTTTTTGCCTTTCCATGCCGGCAACTATCTGCTGCCTTTGTTGCTTCTAACATAACATTTTTCATTTTTTGTGACTAACAGCAGCCAATGAAGCCGACTGGCCTGCCTACAAGACAGTCAGACTAGCCAAACTATGCACACCAATAATATTCACACGCTCACAAAGAAAAAAAAATGTGACGGCTTGGTTTTGGTCTGCAGCATCCCGACCACTTCTAATGTCCATTTCATCGTAGCATAAGTACACTGGTGCTATGTGCAAATGCATCCAAAGAATGGGAATGAGCATAAAGCTGTGGCAGGACACATTTTATCCCTCATTTATGCTTTCATGCATGCATTATACAATAACGAGTACCAGTGCGATCTCTGAGGTCTTAAAACTTTAGTGACAATCATATAGACCTGTCTAAGATGTTGCTGCGACACTGAGAAAGAATAAACACCACAACATTGGCTGGCATATTGTCCCTAGTTCGATTAATAAGAAGTTATGATAATTAAAAGTTATGATAAATCAGACAAAATCCTGGTAATTCAAACAACACTGCCTGCCACAATATTGAAGTCCATGGCGTATGAGCTCCAGCCCATCCTTATTCTTTAGTAAGTTTCCTTTCCACGGGTTGGCTCCCCTGCTCCTAATTGACATAGGTGAGCATAACCTTGCACATATTCTAAAGGTTGGTAGCCAATCGGGTGCTCTTTTTCTTTCACCAGGCCATTGGGCATTATCTTTGCCTTCAACAAGTACTTCAACACTTTACAGTTTAGACCTCCAAGCGTTTCTTGCTGCAAGCAATCATTGCTGAAGGACATTTGCGAAATTGCAGGATGGCAAGATATTCTCCATTCGTCTTTATTCCTTTTTTCCCTTTGAATAATTTCTCTAAGCATGCAGTGAACTAATTTGAAGAAATCATTTCTCCTTGGCTCAACCCGTTTTTATTTGCAATTCTTTTCCATTTCTTGTGAAAACCAAGATAGCTGTGGAGTATTGATAGATATTCGCTCAGGTATTTATAAATATTCAAAGTGCCCCTGAAACACGTAAGCCCCCAAAGACTGATAATATCGATGTAAGGCAGATTACTTTTGCAGTACGTGAAAGTTATTTAAATTAAGTAATTTCTTGTGCTCCGCAGATATCTTAATCACCCTGGCACTCATTAGAGTGAATGGCAAAATGCTACAATCAGTAAATTTTTAAGGATCATGTGAACTGTCTAAAGACATTTTCTCCGCCTTTGATCAAATGAAATGTTACACCATTTTTCTAGCCAATTCATCCGGATGCATATCACACATAGCCTCCGTATAAAATCGAGCTTCTCGTTGAGTAGAAAAAAGGGTTTATTTTGAATAAACCGCAGCCTGACTCCGTGGGTTGCTGCTGCAGCGCATGATTCCGAATGCCAGAACTCATCGTCCTTTTCATCTTCGATCTTTTTTTTTCCAACAATCTCTCCAACCTCATCGGCAGTTATACATGGAACTTGAGTGTCCTGTTCTGCACTGATTAACTTGAGAATAGATAATCTATCTGTATGCTTTACAGTTCACTACAGGGTAGGCATTGACATCAGCCACCTCCATTATGTCAGTGAAATGGCTAATAGTATTTCCGTTTTTATCTTCTAATGTGAGCGCTTCAGTCCTTCTAAAGAGAGTGTCCCTTACCTGCAATGATACTGCCGAATTTCTTTTACTGCAACCTTTACCTCTTTCATATTACACTTTCTCATGTCACTGTAGTTGCTATTGGTTCGTCAGTTTATTTTAGCTCAGCAATTTCTACCTTTTAATATTGAGTTAGACACTTTTATCTGCTAGTTTTTCAAATTAGGTACTTGTGCTGTGTTCTTTGGAAGAGATTATATACTCCTTGCCTTTGTGCTTTGCCTCCACTAACCGAAATATAAAAAATTAGACTAGTTGGGCTTTTGTTCATTCTTTCTTGTATTGTTACATTGCCCTGATTCTAAAGAGCTATCCTAAATTCATCTGTTTTATTATGACTGCACTTCAATTGGCGTAATTTCGGGAGTTATTTCTGTTTTGTTCTCTTTAAGTTGAGGACTATTCTTGCCTCAATGTCCAATGGTTACTACATTTTCCCATACCTGCTACTTCTGGGCAATGGGTTTCCATAAATTATCAAATTTATTTCATCGTTTGTTTCCCTATCAGGCCTTCGCCATGTCCACATTCATGTGAGGAAGTGGAAAGCGCTTCCGGAACATGGTGCTCATTTTGTTGAGGTGCTTCCATTCTGTGAATTCCACTAAGATCTTTCCTCTTTCATTCTTACAATCGATATCATAGCTAGCAATTACTCTGAATCCTTTCTGCTTTCTTGCTATTTTCACACCGAATTAGTGGTCCTTGATTATGGTGCATTGTGTGCAATCCTGCCTTGCCAATTCAATGCCTTCCTAACAGTTGTTCTACTTTTATTATTATGACTGCACATCTCTGAAGCATCTTGCACTACATTTTGTTTATATCTGCTATTCAAGCGGCAATCTAGTTGGATGTCATTACACCTTTTCAAACCACTGCAGCCCTAAAAGCAGGCAGAATTCCCAGTCAATGGCCGAGTTAGGTTTTTATATGTGCGCTCTCAGTTTAAAAGTGTTGGCCTCTGCTGGTGCTATGAACTAACAAACCACTTCTGCTTTTCAAGACTGCTTACATCAACAAACGAGCTATTGCCATTTGGGCCAAAAGATCACTGTTGGCAAATATTGGTCACACTGTCATTTCATTAGCGCCCAATCTTCAAACTAAAACACTGATAAGCACTGGGTATACTCAGCACTTCCTAATTTCAATCTCAGACAGCAGTCTCAAAAAACGCAACCACCTGTAAACATATGAAGCCAGCACACCACACAGTTTGAAGAAGGCAGCTCAGATGTACAATGTGGAAGTTATACTTTCGCACCTAAAGGATTTCTAAGCTCTGCAGAATAACCAACCCGAAGGATGTAACAAAACTGGGCTTCGCTCCGTTTGCAGGTGCCAAAACTTAGCCACCACTAACTATAATATTAATGGCCTCGTTGTTTCTTTCTCAGTCCTACTACACATCAAGGTGTTAGCATTTCAGAGAATCTAAATCGATCCTCTCATGTAAGTAAAAATTAATCAACAGTGCTGTTTGTTACCTTTGTAGACAGTTGTATCATGCCTCTCCATCAGTCAAATTACTACCCTAAAGACACTAACTTGCCAGAAATGACAACAAGCATTTGCAATTGGTGACCCACCCCAAGTTAACCTAAATAATTCTACTGAACTAATCCAATACAGTGCAGTTAGAATCAGCTCCTCTAATCACTCACACTATATACCAGTGTTTCTACCCTTAAAGATGAAGCAGGGCTGGATAACTTAGGCATATACCATAAAATACCTAGACCCTCCTTGCAACACATATCATACCTTTCATTAAACTTTCCCACTTCATGCCGGATAGTCAATACAGTTGTTTCACTCACTCCCTCCCACTCAACCAGCCCATCATAGTATATACTTCAGCCTGCACAAGTCACCACAAGGCAGTCTACCCAACACCTGCTTGCATCACGACCCACCACTCAACCTTTTTAATGCTCAGGCAACAAGGCACTAGAACAACCTTCCTTCAAGTGTCATTCTTCGTTCCAACACATATGAATTTAGAAAAGCCATAGTTGATTGATTGATATGTGGGGTTTAACGTCCCAAAACCACTGATGATTATGAGAGATGCCGTAGTAGAGGGCTCCGGAAATTTGGACCACCTGGGGTTCTTTAACGTGCACCCAAATCTGAGTACACGGGCCTACAACATTTCCACCTCCATCGGAAATGCAGCCGCCGCAGCCGGGATAGAAAAGCCATAGTGTCATTGTTTTAACTAGTAAGCCCCTCACACTGATGTAAAGCCCTTCAGGAAGGGGGCTTTAGAGCTCCAATAAATGAATGAAAAAAACAAACACATAAAAAACGAAATAAATAAATAAGTAAAATAAATAAAGCAACAAGTCGGCAGTCCCTCAGCACAGGCAGTCTTTAGTGGAATGCACAGAAGGGATAGCAAGCAAAATAGCTTTAAAGAACTGATAACTGATTTTCTCTACCCGCCTTTTACTTGGGTAACAGTAAGTTCACCCTCCGTAGCATTTGTAGCAGCAGCGGTTGATCCCCAAAGCACATGGTTATTTTATAACCAGTATTTTTCTATCTGAAAAGCCTCAAGGTAAACAATGCTACCTTCCAGCAATGCTATGGTATAAAGCAATAGCAGGTGCTAATATCCCTCCTTGCATTACTCTCAATGCTCTGTTTTTACGCTTTTATGCATTACGCTTAATGCTCGTCGTCACATGAGTTCCCTTTACCGCCTCACAAGACAGGCACTCACTGCCTTCACGATTAGGTTCGGCAGCGTGTTGGTAGAGCAATCACAGAGACTGAGAGGTGCTTTTCGTACTTCTCCAACACTTCAGCAGCTGCCGCTAGGCCCCCAGCTAGACATTTATGCTGCCGCTCATGAGCATGGAATTTAAAAGTCAAGTGAATGTTGCACCACACTTCTCCTCAGTACAAAAGAAGGCATATCTGCACGATTCAAGTTAGAAAAGATTATGATAAAAAGTGGCTGCATTTCAATACCAATATGGAGACAATCAACTGCCTACAGCAATAAAAGGTCATAGGATTATCAAGGATGCATCTTCACTTTCTTGCCACAAGAGGTAATCTTGAGTGCAAAAATAAAAAAATAATAATTTGGCATATAGCGAGAAAAACAGGGTTCATTTTAAACAATACTACACCAGACAATCTTTCTAGCAGAGAGATAATCTGAATCCGTGTTCTGAGCTGTTGTCTGTCTCTTTAAGGTATGAAAAACTTTACGTTGACTTAATTGGAGAGATGCATTAATACTAGGTTATTAAGAGAACACACCAACAATGTTGATAATGTGTGCAAAAGAAAAGACCATGAAGAATTCCTAACCTATCCATTGTATAACTTGTCGCGATTGCTCAGCCGACATGAAATATACTTCTGTAATCAAGAAAAACAATGTGCGTGATGCAAAAAGTAGTTCAAGCTGAGCAAATTTCGAATCTCGAAAAGGGTTGCGAAGGCGGTGCTTCTATAACGCTTTCCGATAGAGACTCAACGTTTTTATGCATCCACAGAGGACGCCCCGCCGTGGAGGTCTAGTGGCTAAGGTACTCGGCTGCTGACCCGCAGGTCGCGGAATCGAATCCCGGCTGCGGCGGCTGCATTTCCGATGGAGGCAGAAATGTTGTAGGCTCGTGTGCTCATATTTGGGTGCATGTTAAAGAACCCCAGCTGGTCGAAATTCCCGGAGCCCTCCACTACGGCGTCTCTCATAATCATATGGTGGTTTTGGGACGTTAAACTCCACATATCAATCAATCAAATCCACAAAGGACAGCATGTTGTACCAGGCAGCATGAGTATATGTGCAACTTTCAAATAAATGTTGCAATTGGCATTTGTCACTATCATTTTCTTTCATCCTTGTCAGTTTTCAGTGCTGCAGGTTTTGGAAAAAAATTTGCAATTTAGCTGGACCACCAAGCCTACTACAACTTTATTGATTCTCACACCATATTTATCAAAGTTACTCAGTGATTTTGAGAGAGCACAACTTAGATATTTATAATGGGAAACAGGAGCAGCTCTGCTACTGGCTGTAAGTGAGAAAACATTAAAATGAAAATAAGCAGTTCACTCACAAAAGGAGTCTTAAGGGTATTTGTCCCTTCTTCAACGTCAGCACATATGAACCGCTGAAAAAGATTTCTTTTTCATCCATGAGCAGAGTAGGGATATAACCCTGCTTAAGAACATGATTCTATGAACAAGTTCCGAGTTTCTTTCACTAAATCTAAAGGTGGATACCAGAGTGTGTTTTTAGGGTGAGTGAGACTCAATATTTAGATATCACAGTGATTATGAAGCCAACAGCACATGTGAGAACAAGAGAAAGTGAAGGGAAAATTACATAATTCTGGTTTAAATTTATAAAGAAAGAAAATTAAAATGCGCAACAAAAGCACTGGCAGCATGCAGCAGACAAACCCATGTTATCACATTTAGCGTATTTTTGCAACCACTTTTCTAAGGTATACAACTTAACTGCGGAAGAACTTATCCTTGGAATGTTTTTTCTTCTTTTTTTTTGTTCCCCATTATCTGTTGGCTCCATTCTCATCATCGCAATATGAATTGAGCCTTTGTGTTTCCATTTTTCTCATTTATAATTCAATGATAACGACTCTGCCGGCTTGGATGTTTTCATGTAGCCTACAAGGGCTGAACAGTCAGTTGTCTTCCCCAACAAGTCATGCACTATGTGACAACTGCAATAAACAAGAGACGCCAGGCCCAGAATACTAGTGCTGGCTTACATTTCCAGATTCAGTTCTATCATGCATAAGACGTATGTACTAAAGAAAAGTGGACGAAAAAATAGTGCAATGGTAGCTTAAGGCAGACTTGTATATAGTACAGAAAGAAAATAACCAATTAAAACTAAGATAACTTTAGTCTAAAGTGTAATTCATTGTAGTTACAGTTGCTACTAAATGAAGTCATTGATCAATTATTAAAAAGTAATTTATTACTTTTACGATACTTTCCTTCTGGTACTATGTGCCAAGCATTTTTTGGGGCACCAGGAAAGAAAGTTAAGATAATATTTCATCGAATGGAATGGCTCACACCTAGAAAAATTCTGCACTTTGTCGAGCACACCTATAACGATTTGGCAGAGTCACAAATTTGAATATTATGTGATTACTTGATTCTATCTACTCTCTGCTCTCACGCCACTTTCTATGAACATCATTAAAGTGATAGGTATAGGCTTTGGCATTGGCATTATTGGTTATGAGCAAAATATCTGCATTACATGTCTAAAAGAATCGCAATCGACAAAAATAATTAAGATCATGTATTTGAGCCAGAATTCAACCCAGCCCTTCTGCATGACAAGCAAGGTGTTCTACCACAGAGCCATACCTGTGCTTAAAACTTTTTTCTAAAAACCTTATACAGGTGTCATTAGTGCGAAGAGTTGCCTTAAATATAATATATCGTGCCAGAAGCACAGGATTGCACGATGTGTCACACCACGTTAATTGCGGAACGAATGTGTCCTGTAAAGGCCCACACATAACAAAGCACTCAGGCATAATAAAACATTACAGTAGCATGATTTATCACAGCAACACTCACAGCCAGCACACGCAAAATTACAGGCACAGAAAAATCAATCGCAGGTAGAGCAAGTGCAAGCAACCAGCCAATACAACCGTGCAAGGTTGGTTTGTATACATTGCCGCCACATTGATGATGACAACGTGAGGGGATCTGCGTCTCGCTCAGTCGCACAGCAAGCAGTTTATGATTTTAAATATCTTTTAGGCTTTATTTGCCCTTGAAGTGTCATAGATGTTGCACATGCCTCCACATAAATCTATCTCACTCGTCATCTAGCCTTCGAAATTATATGTCAGTGCTCTTTAAATATGAAGCTCAAGCATCCTCAAAGTTTTATTTTTACATTAGTCAAAACATTGATATGCAGGTAATTTATTCTCAAGACAGCAGGAAAACAATACAGCCATGCATTCAAGATTTTTGTGAAGAATGTATCTGTCCAGACATGCAAGAAACACAACCAAGTACAGTATAAGGTACAGTCGGCCAAAGTCTCTAGCTATCCGTGCATCAGTGGCACTTTTTTCTGTGTATCTTTGCAATATGACTGAATTAAGTTTCAGTAGACTTAAAGACAGGTGTATGCCCATAAAGCACATGTGCACGAAGGAATTTTTGGTAACTTCCTTCTATAACATGGTGCTGAGAGACAAAAAAAGCGGCTGCTGCATACAATAGTTCAAGCTTTGGGCAACTGTACTCAAAGGCTTTAGATAATTAATGTTGGCAAGCTTCTTGCAGCCATTATACATTAATTTTGAACATTTAGTCATTTAACGTCAATATGCATGAGCAAAGAACAGCAAGTACATGCAAGTGGTGTTAACTCTTTCGTTACCACGCGTTTTCAAATCGATCACCGGTAACTGACACCTTCATTCGTATATTTTGGCAGGTTTGATTTGTTTCTCATGCACCCAACACTTTCTAATAGTTAGAGTTAGTCCTGCCACTCAACTTTGCAAATCGATCTGAATTTGCCCAGTTTGGGAACATGGTGATTTTTTTACAGACTTTTACGTGAACCAATGTGCGGTGTGCATTAGGGAAATGCCCTAGCTGACAAACTTGACAAAAGTGTGTGCCCTTCGTGTTTATGCTACAGTAACATCAAAGTTCTGCATTCAATGGAACCTTTGTAAGTCAGTTATCAAATTAAGCTATCAGCCTCACAATCTGACAGTGCTAAGCAGTAGTAATTGGCAGAAATTTGTGCCAGCTATCATATAGAGAGCTGTTTCTAGGAGTGAGGGAATTTTTATTTTACAAAATATATTTCCAAAAGTCTGCCGCATGTTTAAAATGTGGAGGTGGCCTTCTCAGCCAGATAGTAGCAGCTTTTGTTCTGGTTGTATCATTATAGCAGACACAGAGGCCACTCTAGTGTCACTAGTCGCTCTTATGACGGCAGCGTCTCTCATAAAAAAAAAAAAAATTTATTGCGAAAAATTTAAGAGTTGTCTTGTGTCTCCCTAAAAAGCAAGGAATGCTTCACTGCATGGCACGAGCAATGAAGCAGTACCTCAGTTCTGATTTTCTTTGCTTATACGAATGAAACACCTTTTAAAAAGTTTCTCATTTTTTGTACTATTCCTGGATCATTTATCTTCAAAATGAATGTTCTCAATTTACTCTGTTTTGAATATTTTTGCATATATAGTGTTTTTATTCAGCTGTTTACCAGATGGCAACCAAAACATACACACTTCTCACCTTTGTACTCATTCCAAAATAATTTTGTTGCTCTACAACATATATTTTTCGGAAGGAGCATTTCATTGCACAAAATTTGCTATGCTGCAGTGCGTGCTGGAGTACTTTTCAAACTAGGCAAAACCTATATTTCCGAGCACATATGTCTCGAGACATATGGCCTCGAGAATCTATGACCGATATCACTCACACCATGTGTGGGAAGGGTTGCTGAACATATGATACTAAATAGATTATCTAGGTACTAGGAAGAGCATAACGTTTACCCTCACATGATGCTAGGCTTCAGACATGGTCTTTCCACGCAAGATGCCATGCTCCTACTCAAAAACGAAATAATCAGTCACAACACAAGAGACAATGAGCAATACTGCGACTAGACATGGAGAAAGCCTTCGATAATATTCCTCATACCTTCATACTCAAAACCATTTTGAACCTAGTAGTTAAGATTGGGATAGGAAAAGAGCAACCAGGCCTGTCCAGTCCTTCAACGTGTCGTCGTTTCCATCATCCCAATCTTAACTGGTGCAGCCAACAGGATTGGGATGATGGAAGAAATCCCGATCGTTCAGATGGCCACGGCGACATGTTGAAGGACTGGACAGGCCCGGTTGCTCACATCCTAGCAAACTTCTGTTTATTTACACACTGACACTTATTTACAAACAAAGGCCGGGGCGGCCAATACACCGACCGCACAGTAGGCACTGGGCTGATTTAACGTCGGCGTTACTTGCCGAGCCCTTCATATACTCTACACATCAACACCAACTTCTCTATGTAGTATCAACCTTGGATCAGAGTCTGCGCTAAGAACGATCTCTGTACCTCCTCCCCGATCTTTTTCTAGAGCACCAAGCCCCCTTCTCTCCATTTCTCTTCATTAGAGGGCCACTCACCAGGCCACATACCAAATTTTAGTTAGACAGTGAAAGTTGTTGGGTGTCCGACGAGGAACATTTTAGCACAAAAATTTTTTAATCGGTCCATCACAAGCGGAGAACACAGGTTTTTTGAAGCAGCGCGAAACCAGGATGAGAGAAGGTGAGCTCGAAACCCTTGCCGCTCCTCCGCGTAGCCTTCGCAAGCCTAATCTCTTCTCCGCCCTCTCTGGCATTCGACCAAGAGGTGACGTGCGCATGACGTGCCCAAACAAGTACAACCCCCGAGCACGCGAGCGGCGTTGCTTTGTTGACCAGCGTTATCTTGCGGCCTTCTGCCTGTTTCTGCGGGATGGTTTGGAAACGCTGCTTAGACGCGGTAGAATAGGTGAGCACAATGAGTGCGTGAACACATAGGAGCGTTCCACAGTGGTCGTCTGCTTCATGCGCTGACCGGCGGGACACGAACGCATGCGAAACGCCGACACATTAGCTTCGCATCTCATTGCAATTCACGGGAAAAAAAATGAAAAAAGATGCTCACATTCTCTTATTGCATCTCATTATTTATCAAGAGCTTTATTTATCTCTTCAAGCAACAAATTACATAAACTACACGTGCCGTGTTAAATAATTTTCGCCGTGTCATGTGCCACTGTTTGCAATGTCATAGCAGAGTCGTCTACTCAGAGGGACCAATGTCTCTGCATTGCCGTGTACGTAGGTCCGTTCATACGCGCACTTCATGCCCTCATTCTCTAAGCACGCGCCGGCAGAAGGAAGGGGGAGCAGTGTTCATCTTGAAATTCGACCCATTTTCGCGGCGTGGCGCGTTGCGAATTTGGGCAGAAGGGATCATGAACGCCTCATCTACGCATTGCACTTGTCAGCTCAATATTGTCAAACCTGGTGAGTGGCCCTTTAAATACCTCCCGTCTCATCTGAGACACTCGTGGGACAAACCCCTA